AACTGGTAATGGAGGTCTCTTCTAAACCTAAAAATTTCACTCTATCTCAAGCTTGCTTAGGCCTAATAATTCAAACCATCGCATAGGATAAAAATCATATACAAATCAATTATTTATTATCTTAATTATCATTTCATTCTCATATTTCCTGCCTAAATTATCTAAAAATGTTCAGAACTAAGGTTTTATTACATCAACATCTGTTGTTTTTTTTTGTCTGTTGTTTTTGTGTCAACTGGAAACAACAGTCAAACAAACTTGGCTGTTGATGTGAAGGACTAACTTCTCTTTGACATTATTTAAACCTTCGGAAAGCAAAATAACTAAACCATTTTAATTTAGGATTTAATTACTATCTTAATTGTCATTTCATTCTCATATTTCCTTCCTGAATTATCTAAAAAATGATCAAAACTAAGGTTATATTACATCAACATCTGCTGTTTTTTTGTCTGTTGTTTTTGTGTCAAATGGAAACTACAATCAAACAAACTTGGCTGTTGATGTTAAAGACTAACCTCTCTGTGATATTACCTAAGCCTTCGGAAACCTAGATAACTAAACCGTAGCCTTCAGGCGAGGGAAATTATTAGGATTTGGACAAAACGCAAGTGAAATTATTCCCTAATTAATTTTCACGAGTATACCATTTGATTACCTATTAATATCATGGGTGACGAATTACGTTAGCAATCTTGGATTTTGACATGTTTATCCTCGATCGTCGATCAAGAACTCCACTCTCTCAAATGTTTAGACCTTAAATTTGGCTTATAAAGTTCAGAATTTTTCAGACTTTTTCGGCAAAATACCTGTTAGAATCCTTCTTGATGTTCTCTTGTGTGTTCAGGTTTTCTAAGGCGTCTTTTTGTGCCCTGACATCTTCATTCACGGCATTTTAAAACCTCGTCGCCATCTTGACACTAGGGAACTTAAGATCGAGACGTTTTCGGGGCGACGGCAACTTCAACCGGACATGACGTCATGATTCGTGCGATATTGCGCATGCTCTTGTTTACCACCTTGCCGTCGTGGTCCCGTCGGCGACGTGAAACTAGTGGGTTTGGCGTTGTGGCGAGAACGTGAGTATCTAACTTTCATTTCACTCAGGTTTGTTGCGTTTAGCAACCAGAATTTTATAGTTTATCGTTCTTAAATTGTCCTTGTTTTCTTTGAGTCACATTTCAAGCTCGATTTTCAAGGTCTGTTATCTAAACTTACATCTTTTATAATGTTTCATGTCACAGAGTCAAAGAGAATCTATCCGCCATGGCAAACAGCAAACCGTAAGTGAACTTTACATGGACAAAATTGTCCTACGAGCCAAATAATAGTATTCAAAAGAAATATGAAAACCGATATTTTAATTGCGTGTTCTTAGCTCTTTTTTTTCGTTTGTGTATCGTATAAAATCATGAAACATTGAAAATTATTTAGACTGGAACACAAATGTAGACGTAAGCTTAACGCTAACGCGGGAATACTGAAATAGAAAAGTTGTTGTTGCATGCAAGTATTTCCCGGGAATTATTCCAATACCAAACTTAGAATTTCTTTGTCAAAGAGGTAACAAAACGCATTTTAGTTCTTTAGCACTTGTTTCTGGTAGACTGGTAGAAAAGCTCCCAAAAGAAATATCCTTGGAAACTGAATTAATTCCAAGTGTCTCGCCAAATTATGTCTGGCCAAGTTGCTCGGTAAAAGCCTCTCTTCACCAGCGGATACTTCGAATTCAATTTTTTAAAACCTTTTCTTTTTAAACAGTGCTCGCTCTTTTTACAGAATTTGAAAGAATTTGATTTAGTCTATCCTGTAAACCAAAACGTAACAGGGTCATTTTCTTTACACCCTGAAACTAGGAATTTAGCTTGCATGTTAACTTTTTTTAGAAAATTTTTGGAACCTTTTGAACGCTTGTTTACCAGAGTTTCATTTCTTCTGTAACTAGAAAGATAGGAATGAGGCAGCCAGATCTGTTCTCCACCTCTAACTTATTTGTCTTGTCTGTTACTCCATGTTTGTTGGCCTAGATTGATTATGGACTGGACCCGACAACATGACAGAGCCCTTCTAGATGAAATGTCTGTTAGTGAGGTGTTCCAGTATAAAAAGGGGACACCAGAAAGAGGTCAAGTTTGGGACTCCATCGCTGCAAATCTCAATGCTGTGGAATACCCGAAATTTAAGGTCCTCAAGAGGTCATGTAGAGACCGCTGGACTCTGTTGCGTGGGAAATACCAGAAAAAAATGACAAACGAAATCAAAGCATCCGGCATTGATGTGGAGGTGAATGAAATTGACACCATAATTGAAGAGCTTATTGGGAAAGAAGATGCTGCTGTTAGCACTGGTGGCAAAGACAAGAAAAAGGTTGAAGAAGAAAAGAAGGCTGCAGAACAAATTCGAAAAAAGGCCATGGAACGTTTGGGAGAAAGTAGCAAAAGATGTGGGGCAGATGGGGAGGTGGAAGTGAAAAAGAAAAAGAGAAAGAGTAGTAGCGAAGCTGTGGAGTTTCTCAGAGAAAAAGCAAAGTTAGACCATTCTCTCAGAGAGGAAGAACTTCAGCTTAGGAAAGACCAGCAAAGCCAGACACTGGTGCTGTTGCAACAGCAACAACAAATGAATCAAGTTTTACTTTCTCTGATGGAAAAAATGGTGGAAAAGCAGAAAAATTAGAACAGTTCATATATCGGTTCACATCAGTTTGTTGTTTGTTGATTTCTATTTTAAAAGGATGTAATGCTGTATTCCTACTCAACTTCAAGAGAAGTTTGTTGATATTAAAGTGTTTGCATATGTCTTGTTTAGTAGCTCTTGCTCCCATGGGGAAGGTTATATCACAGTTTGTAATATTAACACAGACTGTAAATAATCAACTATTAAGCCTCTCCTGGGGGGGCTTATTTTTCCATTCACTTTTGAGGGGAGTGGGAAGGGCTAAGAAAAGAGGGTAGACTTTATAACTTTCTTTCTCTAAAAAGGAGGGGGCTTATTTTTGAGGGGGGACTTAATTGAGAGGGGAGATGCATAGGGGATTTATGACATCATTGTGTTTCCCTGTTTAAGCTTTTTCATTGAAATTAATGTAAGTGATTACTGATCATTTGCAGGTGGTTTTTATTTTATTTTTTTCCAATTTTCAAACAAATGTTACTTCTCATATGCTATGACAACTGACGAGGGTCATAAAAGAGCTTTTAGTGCTCTTTTTAACAACATTTCAATCCCCCTTTCCATTCTTACTTATTCTTAATGTGATTCCAAAGAAGCTACTTCTTTTCTTTGTTTCTAACATTAGTATTATAACTGGTCAAGGGTAATCACAGGAACAGTCAGGCAAATTTGAAACTGTCTTATAAAGGGCCCTATTTCTCTCTACCTCTAAGCAAAAACTTTTTCGGCAAAATACCTGTTAGAATCCTTCTTGATGTTCTCTTGTGTGTTCAGGTTTTCTAAGGCGTCTTTTTGTGCCCTGACATCTTCATTCACGGCATTTTAAAACCTCGTCGCCATCTTGACACTAGGGAACTTAAGATCGAGACGTTTTCGGGGCGACGGCAACTTCAACCGGACATGACGTCATGATTCGTGCGATATTGCGCATGCTCTTGTTTACCACCTTGCCGTCGTGGTCCCGTCGGCGACGTGAAACTAGTGGGTTTGGCGTTGTGGCGAGAACGTGAGTATCTAACTTTCATTTCACTCAGGTTTGTTGCGTTTAGCAACCAGAATTTTATAGTTTATCGTTCTTAAATTGTCCTTGTTTTCTTTGAGTCACATTTCAAGCTCGATTTTCAAGGTCTGTTATCTAAACTTACATCTTTTATAATGTTTCATGTCACAGAGTCAAAGAGAATCTATCCGCCATGGCAAACAGCAAACCGTAAGTGAACTTTACATGGACAAAATTGTCCTACGAGCCAAATAATAGTATTCAAAAGAAATATGAAAACCGATATTTTAATTGCGTGTTCTTAGCTCTTTTTTTTCGTTTGTGTATCGTATAAAATCATGAAACATTGAAAATTATTTAGACTGGAACACAAATGTAGACGTAAGCTTAACGCTAACGCGGGAATACTGAAATAGAAAAGTTGTTGTTGCATGCAAGTATTTCCCGGGAATTATTCCAATACCAAACTTAGAATTTCTTTGTCAAAGAGGTAACAAAACGCATTTTAGTTCTTTAGCACTTGTTTCTGGTAGACTGGTAGAAAAGCTCCCAAAAGAAATATCCTTGGAAACTGAATTAATTCCAAGTGTCTCGCCAAATTATGTCTGGCCAAGTTGCTCGGTAAAAGCCTCTCTTCACCAGCGGATACTTCGAATTCAATTTTTTAAAACCTTTTCTTTTTAAACAGTGCTCGCTCTTTTTACAGAATTTGAAAGAATTTGATTTAGTCTATCCTGTAAACCAAAACGTAACAGGGTCATTTTCTTTACACCCTGAAACTAGGAATTTAGCTTGCATGTTAACTTTTTTTAGAAAATTTTTGGAACCTTTTGAACGCTTGTTTACCAGAGTTTCATTTCTTCTGTAACTAGAAAGATAGGAATGAGGCAGCCAGATCTGTTCTCCACCTCTAACTTATTTGTCTTGTCTGTTACTCCATGTTTGTTGGCCTAGATTGATTATGGACTGGACCCGACAACATGACAGAGCCCTTCTAGATGAAATGTCTGTTAGTGAGGTGTTCCAGTATAAAAAGGGGACACCAGAAAGAGGTCAAGTTTGGGACTCCATCGCTGCAAATCTCAATGCTGTGGAATACCCGAAATTTAAGGTCCTCAAGAGGTCATGTAGAGACCGCTGGACTCTGTTGCGTGGGAAATACCAGAAAAAAATGACAAACGAAATCAAAGCATCCGGCATTGATGTGGAGGTGAATGAAATTGACACCATAATTGAAGAGCTTATTGGGAAAGAAGATGCTGCTGTTAGCACTGGTGGCAAAGACAAGAAAAAGGTTGAAGAAGAAAAGAAGGCTGCAGAACAAATTCGAAAAAAGGCCATGGAACGTTTGGGAGAAAGTAGCAAAAGATGTGGGGCAGATGGGGAGGTGGAAGTGAAAAAGAAAAAGAGAAAGAGTAGTAGCGAAGCTGTGGAGTTTCTCAGAGAAAAAGCAAAGTTAGACCATTCTCTCAGAGAGGAAGAACTTCAGCTTAGGAAAGACCAGCAAAGCCAGACACTGGTGCTGTTGCAACAGCAACAACAAATGAATCAAGTTTTACTTTCTCTGATGGAAAAAATGGTGGAAAAGCAGAAAAATTAGAACAGTTCATATATCGGTTCACATCAGTTTGTTGTTTGTTGATTTCTATTTTAAAAGGATGTAATGCTGTATTCCTACTCAACTTCAAGAGAAGTTTGTTGATATTAAAGTGTTTGCATATGTCTTGTTTAGTAGCTCTTGCTCCCATGGGGAAGGTTATATCACAGTTTGTAATATTAACACAGACTGTAAATAATCAACTATTAAGCCTCTCCTGGGGGGGCTTATTTTTCCATTCACTTTTGAGGGGAGTGGGAAGGGCTAAGAAAAGAGGGTAGACTTTATAACTTTCTTTCTCTAAAAAGGAGGGGGCTTATTTTTGAGGGGGGACTTAATTGAGAGGGGAGATGCATAGGGGATTTATGACATCATTGTGTTTCCCTGTTTAAGCTTTTTCATTGAAATTAATGTAAGTGATTACTGATCATTTGCAGGTGGTTTTTATTTTATTTTTTTCCAATTTTCAAACAAATGTTACTTCTCATATGCTATGACAACTGACGAGGGTCATAAAAGAGCTTTTAGTGCTCTTTTTAACAACATTTCAATCCCCCTTTCCATTCTTACTTATTCTTAATGTGATTCCAAAGAAGCTACTTCTTTTCTTTGTTTCTAACATTAGTATTATAACTGGTCAAGGGTAATCACAGGAACAGTCAGGCAAATTTGAAACTGTCTTATAAAGGGCCCTATTTCTCTCTACCTCTAAGCAAAGTATTCCTCGAGGCTGGGGGGTTCAAGCTCGAAAAATGACGAGGTCTTATTGCCATAGAGACAGGTGCGGGCATTGTGCAGTAGTGCACAGACAATATACATCTTGCCAATGCTGCTCATGCCAATTTTTAAATTCTTCTTAAAATCCAAAAACTTGAAATAGTTTATAACGTCTCCAAAGAGCCACTCCACTGAAATCCTTATAGAGCTCATGGAAGCATTGAATGCTTCCATTAAAGGAGTGAGATGAGGGTTCCGGAAAGGGCCTTGTAGGTGGACTCTAAGTGGATAGGCTGGATCTCCGTATATGCACATTGGTAAGCCTGCTGGTGAAAACGCGTAAGCCTCTAGATCCCGAAGAAGCCCGGAATCAGCCAACATGCCTGAATCGTGCCTCTTACCTTCTGAAAAACAAATATCAAATAAATAATGTGAAATATCCAGGCTTTAAAATGAGTACTTTCTGTTGACTAGTTATATATTTTATAAAAGGACCATACCTACTGGACCATACATATTTGCAATGAGCCCATTGGGCACAGCAACCGACTGAAACTTCAGGGCGTGGACCCTTTTATGCCCATTATACACAATCCTCTGCTGTTCACCCGGTTTGGAGATTGGACGCACCGTGCCATCAACAAACCCAAAGCAGTTGTCTAGGGCGGCACCTTTACCTGCGATGGCAGCTGCGTACTGTTCAAGAAATACAGGATTTAGTACAGCAGGATTCCACTGAGTGATGCGGTGGCCATGGGTGTCGTAGATAAAATCCATCACTCGATTTGTTACCATACATAGCTCAGGAACAGATCTTCCAAAACGCGAAATCATATCACTGAAACGACATGGGTATGCCAGTCGTTTCAACAGCATGCACAGTCCCTCCATTCCATCGCATACGGTTCCTTGGTAGCATTTCAATGTTCCTGGAATTTGTAGGGCTTCTGCAAGCCTTTGGAGATCATTTTTTTCAACACGAAATTCTGCCTTACACTCAGCTTCATCCATGTTTACGAGCGTGAACGGATCGTAACTGTCCCAAGGAAAATCGGGATTCTTGGATTCATAATTTTCCCACAAAACGAGAAACTCTTCATCTGATAACATGTTGTCTGCGTAGCATATAAGCAATAATTCTCGTAGTTCTTTATGTGAAGCCATGATCCCTCATCGGTAGTCTTCGAAGGCGCCGTCCTTCTGAGTATTCACTGCGATCTTAATGTTCGAATTTTGGCGGGAAGCGACGGCTACCTCAGTTCCAGGCTTGCTCTGCCAGTCCGGTCGCCGTCGCCCCGAAAACGTCTCTATCTTAAGTTCCCTACTGAGACGTACGGAAGGGCCGTTGCCATCGCAATTTTGTAATTTCACATGTGAAATTACAAATTAACGCTGAAATTTCGCGCCAAAATTAAGGAGTAATTCGTTACCTATGATATTAAGAGAAAAACTCAATCGCGACACTTCGCCATTTTAGGATGAATAATAATAAACGGCGTTAGAACAAAATCTTATTTAACCTAAAGTCTTATTTGACCTAAACATTAAAATAGGGCGAGAGAAATCCAGCATCAGGTGCTTCGCAGAGGAGAGATTATTATTGACTTGTGCTCTTTGG